GAGAGAGAGAGAGAGAGAGAGAGAGAGAGAGAGAGAGAGAGAGAGAGAGAAAGAGAGAGAGAGAGAGAGAGAGAGAGAGGCCAGGTGGGGATCGTGGAAAGCACGCCCCCTACCGTCAGGATGCTGTCAACACTAGTTATAGTGACAGACATCCCGTCTGTTAGTGAGAGATCCATGTATAGCGCTGTCCTACAAACAAACACTCACGGCCTAACGCATGTATTGTACGGGGGGTGGATGGGGTAGTCGCAGTGATATGCCTGTACGTACAACCTACTCTAGTAACATCGAGTGACCCAGCAAATATCGTACATTAACGAAGCGAGTACTGGTTATTATACACGCACGTATACCGCGGCACGTTGATTACACGTGTGAAAAGCAGCAATCTCGCAACTACGTATGTACGACCACGTGCGTAGGCGCGGGTAATTCAGTAGCGAAACATCGGTAACCGGACGGGAAACTAGACGAAGAGCGATCAACCCTCGCTACGTGGAAACACCAAACAACCATTTACACGCTTGTGTAAAATGTTCTCCCAATTCTTTCAATTCTCCAAAATTCTCCTTGTGTAGTAATTGCACGAATTAACAAACGGGCGAGTCCCCGGAGAGAGTAGTCCTGTCACTAGAGAAAGAAGAGTTAAAGTCAGAATAGCGGTCTCACCCAGAGAGGACGTTTGTAGATTATCATGAAATCTCAAATTAACAGACGAAATAACTTATTTTAATCAACGTTCTCCCGGCTCGCCCATGCAGGTAGCGAGATTTCCACAAGACAAAATGTCAACTGTACTATGTGACACTATGTGATACTATGTGACACTATGTGACACTATGTGACACTATGTGACACTATGTGACACTATGTGACACTATGTGACACTATGTGACACTATGTGACACTATGACACTATAACTCTAAGCAACTATGCACGCCATCCCTCTCTGCTCTCCCTCTCTGCTCTCCCTCTCTCTCTCTCTCTCTTCCTCCCGCCCTCATTCCCTTCCTGCCTCTCTCCCTCCCTCCCTCTCATCCTTTTTTCTTTTTGACTCACGTCGAGGTTTGAACGGAGGCATGTGTTTGTGGAGGCATGGGCACACCAGCCTACGGGCGGCGGCAGCGGCGGCAGGGGTCTATTGTTCCCCTCTACCGGGAGATGCGGAGACTGATAAACACAGGGGCTCCATCATTGGAGGGTTTTTTATCCGCGTGATACACAACCCTCCCCCCGGGGGGAGAGGGGTTGAACTATACTATCCACGCGCGCACTATTCCCTGCTCTGTCATTAAAATGCAGTCCGATTAGGCGAATTTTCATTAAATTGCATTCTTTCATGTGCCCGGCGGTCATGATGCGGGCATACAATGCGCACACAGTGTGCGTGTGCGTGTGCTGATAGACATTACAAGGGACGGTAAAGCTAGTAGCTAGATGTCCACAGATCACGCCTGCTAATTAATTATAATGCACACTACACGATGTCAGCCGTATATGTACCAGCTATCGCGTGGTTGGAAGCAAGAATTAAAGTAATAATTTCAAACAGGCTTTCTGACAGATCTCGTGGTTTTCTGACCACGACTTATAGACAATACTTATTACTATTATTATTACTATTATATTATTTTATTTTTATTTATTTTTTATTATATTTATATTATATTTTAT